CCAACCCAAACACGCAGCGGCCTGCGCCACGTGGCGGCCCCCGACGGCCCAACTTTTCGGGACTGCCTCCTCCGCGGAGGAACTTCCCCGTAAACCGTCGCCCACACTACCCAGGCCCCATCGGGCCTTGAGTCCCTTACTCACGAGCCCCTTGCTCACCTAATTGCATTCATACCTCCAAGACTCCCCCACTTTCCCCAAAAATCCTTGGCACACCCCTTCTCGCACTTCCAGGCCCACACCCCACTCCGATCAGGAAGTCGCGCTGGGCGTGAGGTTGGTATCGAAGCCCGACACGTGGCTAGGGTCTTAGGATTGATAGCACATTAATTAGGCGGTCTGGCTAACCGGGGGTGACCTCGCCCTCGGAACGCGCATAGACGCGACCCTATCGTCACTCGAAGCAGATCGGCTAACCGACGAACAACCAATATGGCTGCCAAAGTGCAAAACCCGATTCCGCAACAGAATGCTAATCCACCGAATCAACCCGCCCCACGTGCACGAGCTCCCATGACGCCACCTGATCTCTATCTATTTGATCCGGCGCACCATCTCGCAAGAGCATGGTTGGCCACGCTTAGGGCACAACAGTACGATGATAACGAAGCACAGATCAACATTCCGACTCGAATGGGGGGTGATGCTCATCATTGGTTTAGTACCTACGTATGGGTTGATCTCCCGACCTTCGAACGGGGTTTCATGAACCGATTTGATTATGTTCACCCCGAGCAAGCGCTGTACATGATCAAGGACCGAGTGCAAAAACCTCTCGAATCCGTTGCAGAATATTGAAACCGGTTCTACAGAATGTTCGTGAAAACAGAGCGAGGTGAGCAAGTGGGAAGATATTTGTTCATTGACGGGCTTCGCAGCCGAACAATAAGGGTTAAGTTGCGGAAGCAATTTTCCCCCATCACTCACACGTTACAACAAATCATGGCTGTTGTGGAAGAAATGGAACGGAAGTTCGCAGCAAACTGCCTGGAAGGAGAAGATTATCCTAGAGAAGGAGATTTGACCGAACTTGCACGAGCGAGGGCGGAGCTGGCTGCCTTGCAGAACAAGTTTGAAAACATGGGAGTTGTATCAGGACCTGTCACCTATATGGAACAGATAGGCCCCGAACGAGTGACCCTAAGTGAGATTCCGAGCACCTCCGCTCCTGTGATACCCCCACCCGTTAGAGCATTACCCCCACCACCGATTGAGGCTCCCGTACGATCGAACGAATCAGCGGCCATTTTCGAATTAACCAAAACATTGATTAGTTTAATCCAGGAAAGCAAAAAGGAGCAGCAAGAGCACAATGCTCGGCTAAAAGCCATGATGAGGAATATGCGGCCCATTGCGGTGCGCGCCCCTCCGATGCAGCAGGGATTAGCCCCGACACGTGCTCTCGGGGGAGCCGCGAACAATCTGAATGTCTGTTATGCCTGTCATCAGCCAGGACATCTAGCCCGTGATTACCCCCACCGACCTCCGCAACAGCAGATCGGGGTCGCGCCGATGGCGGCTGGCCCCATCGCTAACGGACCAGGATGAGTCGGAGCTTTAATGGAAGAAGTAGAGGGTGGGGGAAGTGCCCTGGCCACTACGGAAGAGACCGCCGAGCTAATCCCGCTAGATCAGTACGTATCCCTTGATTATCCCGGGCTTGGAATGATCGGAACAGTCAGACCAGCGCTAGAACTGAAAGAGGTGGCGGAGTGGCGACCTTCTCTAGGAGAAATGGAGTCGGGAGGACCCAGTTTCATCACAGGAGAGATCGACGTATTACATCATTCGAGCCTTGGACCATCGGATTCCACTTCCGATCGACCATCTACTCTCTATCTCCGAACAAGCCAATGAGCGAATGCTACAACATTGCAAAGCGAACCGAAAGCGATTCGCCCTCGCCCGAACGCCAAACGTAAAAGCTAAAACCCCCATACCCGAAGAAAACCCAGCAGGAACTTCGGATCCGATATGGGTAGGTTTAATCCAGAAAGACGACCATTTCCTGCAGATTAAACCAATTCCGTAGAAATCCGCAGAATGCGATATCGAAATTTGGGGAATTTCTTACAACGCAATTATAGATTCGGGAGCAGCGGTGCTGGTTATTTCGCTAAGGGTGGTCGAAAGGGCAAGAAGGAAAAACGATCTGATTATGCTCGCTGAGAAAGATCTGCTCGTTTCGGCAGATGAGGAAAAGATCAAGACTGTGGGAAGAATGACCAATGTTGCCTTCCGATTAAGAAAAGTACACGCGCTTGGGGATGTCGTAGTACTAGATGTTAATACGTATGACGTTCTTTTTGGACTTGTTGCTCTGGTGACCCTACGAGCGAACTTGGATTTCGAATGAAGGTCGATTATCCTCCGAAATACCGGAGGAAAACCCTACGCTGTGCCCATGCGATTGACCCTTCGCACTACCATTAACTCGGTCCCAAGGGTTTCGCCGATGATGGCAAAGACTCTCCGCATGATCTCCTGGGATGAATCCGCCGATGAAAAGTCATCGACGAATGATGCGGACAAAAGTGATGAAGATGATCCGGAGATCTTGAAATTAGCATGACAACGCGTTTACTAACCGCCGCCCAAAACGATAGCGATAACGATGCAACTGACCAGCCGAAAAATTCAAAGGACCAAGGCGATGATCTTGGGTGAGCCCCTCGTGCAGATTTCGAGGATGGTCGATTCTTTGGAACCCCCTCAAACTCTGTACGAAGGAATCACCCCTCTCCTCGCCCGGTATAACGACAAGAAGCATTACTGTGACATTACAGATCTACCCAAGTCCTTATTGACATCTGCTAAAGAAGTGAGATTGTTACGCTTAGGGGCGGAAGCGAGTTCTCTGGAACCCCCTGGGCGTCTCGAAGCAGAAACAGACGAACTGGGGATAAAGATCGCAACTAAGAACGTGCCATGGCAAGATGTTTGTGATGAGATTACCTCGGAAGGACACGTGGCAATCCGGGAAGAAGATGCCCAGATGATGGCCACTGTGTTCTCCTGGCGATCAGACCATTCGTTCATCTCGGCGCCTCCACCCGACGTGGCAAGTCAGATGCGCACGAAACAGATTTACGTTCGGATCTGGGACCAACTTTTCGAACTACACGTTCCACAGTACGTACCGAATGAAATCCAGTGGTGATTGCGGACATTCTAACGGAATACCAAGGAGCGATTAGTGTGACAGACACTGACATTGGTTTATCGTTAGTAATCCAACATGAGATTCAGACAGGAAATCACTCCCCAATTCATTGCAAACCTTACCGGTATTCCTTGATTGAACGCAAAAAGGCTCTCGAACGAATTCGGGAGTTCGAAGCCAGCGGCTGGATTGAACCCGCTACCGGACCTTGGTCATTTCCCGTAGTATTAGTACCAAAGAAAAACGGAGCGATTCACATTTGCATTGATTATCGCAAGCTGAACGAGATCACGATTAAAGATGTGTATCCCCTCCCCCGGATTGATGATTTTGTTGGATGCGATTGGATGTGCTAATTATTTTAGAAAGTTTGATATTCGGCATGGTTTCCATCACATTCTGGTTAAAGAGGAAGATCGGCCGAAGACGGCCTTTGTGTTGTTTGAGGGCACGTGGCAGTGGGTTCGGTGTCCGATGGGGATTTGCAATGCGCCTCCCACATTTCATGAGCGATGAACATGACGTTCCAGAATTTCGTCAACAAGACACGACTGACACAAGGGATGATTAACTTCTGCGTGATCGTGTACATGGACGATATCATGGTCTATTCGAAAACCTATCACGGGCACGCGCAACACATCGAATGGACATTGGGCGCGTTAAGAGACGCCGGGTTCAAGATTGCGCTCGAGAAGAGCAAATTTTTCCTCTCGGAAATTTCGTTCCTGAGCTACGTCGTGACTCGTGAAGGACTACGACCGGACTCAAGAAAGGTTGCGGTAGTGAAAGAAGCCCTGACTCCCACGTCGCTGACGCAGGTTCGGGCCTTCTTGGGGTTAGCGTCGTACTACCGACGCTTCATCAAGGGCTTTGCCGCGATTGCACGGCCATTAACGAATCTGCTACGAAAGGACCAGCCTCTCAGCTGGGACGCGGAATGCCAGCAGGCCTTCGCGACCCTCAAAGACGCCTTGGCGACGGCTCCTATTTTGATCCGACTGGACCCCTCCCAGCAGTTTATCCTCATTACGGACTGGCAACCGGAAGCCATTTCCGCTATTTTAGCGCAGAAGGGCAACGATGGTCGTGAACACGTCATCGAGTACACGTCGCGCACAGTGCCAGACGAACGCCGAAATGACTCAGCACCTCAAGGCGAGTGCTATGCGGTAGTTTGGGGAATTCAACACTTCCATCCATATCTCTACGGACAGAAGTTTCGCCTCGCGACGGATCACGAGCCTCTGCTAGCTTTGAAGAAGCTCACCAATTACACGGGCATGATTGGCCGATGGGCGGTACGACTACAGGAGTACGATTTCGATATCGTCCATCGAAAGACGGAGCGACACGGCAACGCGGACGGCTTGACACGTCTGCATCGACCTGCCAAGGTACCAAAGGGCGAGGAAATTACACCGTGGAAAGAGTCGGACTTGACCAACGAGCCTCAGTACGGACAAGTGGCAGTTCTCCCACGTGGCAAGAAGCAAAACGGTGGCGATGGGTGATGGAGGTAACCCCACTACCCCTCTTTCTCCCCCTTCCTCCTCGTCTCTCCTCTCCCTGCCTGACAAATTTTGCTATTTTTGCGAAGCTATCTCCCGCGTATACTCGGTGTCCATGCGTCCTAACGGGGAAGGGTATGCCGATTGGATAGATTGCCGACAATGTGTCGCACGAGCCCATAGCTCGTGCATCCAATACAGAAATGATAGTAAACCGTGGTTGTGCCCCTTGTGCCGGACCGACAAAATTTCGACCGAGCTTCGCTTTTTGGATGCCACTTCAGAAAGGTTGGAAAAGACCCGGAAGTTTAGAAGGGCCGAAGTATGGACTGATATTGCCTTAATTGCCACCCTAGTAGGTAACCCCTCCAGGATTTCACCACGGAAGATCGGAGGAGGGCCAACGAAAGGGCTCGGGATTATCAGTGGATAGAAGGTAGATTAGAAAAATAGAAAATGGACGGCAATGGGATTTGGATGGTGGTGCCGCATCCGTTCATGCGGTATGACTGGGTTAAGACAGCCCACAAGGAAGATGCGGCTCATTTTGCCGTACGGATCACGGAGTCTGCTATCAACAAAAATGAGTGGTACTGGTCCAATATCAGCGACGATGTGAAATACATCATCGCCAACTGTCAAGTCTGCGCCGCTGATAAAGCGCCGATTCAGCCCCCAAGATCGATAGTACCCACGGTAGTTGAACGACCGTTTCAAAGAGTGAGCATTGACACTACCGACATAGTGGTGCCCCCTGGCCCTAATAGTTGCGAATGTTCAGTCCTATTGGTATTTGTCGACCATTTCTCGAAATGGATCGAGGCGTACCCTTGTCGCATGCGGCAAGCCACGGAAATCGCGCGATACGTCAACCATTTCCTCGGAATGCATCAGGATATGGAAGAGATCCTGACCGACAACGAGGCTGAATTCAGGGGAGAAGTGCTAAGGAATCTGGTCCTGCATGGCGTCGCCATACGGAACACCGCACCCCACATGTCACAATCCAATGGGCTGGTCGAAAACGCTAACCGGGTGATAAAGACAGCATTGCGATGAAATATCGCGTCACGGGATCCGAGGACCTGCCCCGATATCGTCGATCACATCCTAGCGGTCCACCGCGGAACGCCCCACGAATCGACAGGGTTAAGCCCCTTCCAATTAAGAACCAATAGCGTCGCTTGCGTTTCGATACCAAGCCTCCTAGATGAGTCCACATTAAACCGACGGCCCATCAGGGCCACGGCTCAGGACAAGGCCAAACGGCACCTAGAGTTAATGGAACGGTCACTGCCCAGGCTAGCCCGGAAACGACAGAAAATGACCGAACTAGCCCAAGGCCGACAGGTCCGAAGCTACGAGCCCGAAATGGGAATGCGGGTCCGCGGCCCCAGTACAAATTGGGGGACGTGGTGCAGGTAAGGAAATGTGCTCGCCAGGGTAAGTTAGCGCCACGATTCTTCGGGCGATATCGCCGTGCGTCTTGCCCCCGAGGTCTCTAGCAGTCGATTGGCCCGTCCGATCACACGCCACGTGTCCTATCTTCGCCGCCTCCCCTCTACCCCATCTCCTTCTTCATTGGTCTCTCCCTCTAAGGAAGCCGACGACGATGGCTCTGCCTCCCCGACATCTCCCTCTTCTTCTTGCTCCCTCTCTGCCTCCTCGTTACCTTCGCCATCGCCATCAACAGAAAAAATTCTCAGAATTAAATAATAATTCTATATTAAAATTACATTCTAAATTTTAAATTTTCATTCCATCTTAAAAAATGTCATTCCAATTTTAAAATTTTCCTTCTTACTTGAAAACTTTCCTTCCAAGAATGGGGTATCCCTTCTTATTTGAACTGCATGCTAGAGATGGAATGAAAGTCTGGACGAGTTCATGAAATATTTTAATTTGATCGTCATTCTAAGTAAAAATTTTCAGTCATAAATAGGTTAATCCAATTTAAATTAGAAGATATTTGTTGTAGTAGAATGAAAGTTTAATTAAAACATTTCATAAACTCGTCCAGACTTTCATTCCATCTTGAACAAATAGATGTAGTTGGAAGGGAAAACTCATATTTAGACGGGAATTTATCAAATAAGACTAGAAATTTTAGAATTGGACGAACATTGGAATGATAATTTCTAAATATGAAGGATTTTTTTTTTTTAGAATGTTTTTTCAACTTTCATTTCTCGTGGGAATTTTCCAGTTGATGAGTTGTCTAGAGGAAAGAGTCCTCAGCGAAGCATCGCTTGCGCCCCGTGATCGATTGACAATCCGGCAGGTCCATCATCCCCGCCTCAGTCCAGATCTTCGGCGGCTTGCGCACTTCTTCTGCACAGAAGGCGTGTATGCAGCGGCGGTGTTTAGAATCGAAGGCCGGCCTGACGCGGTGGTACTGGCCGAGGCGGTAGCAGCTCATCAGCGAGCGGTGCCAAGTGTCAGCCGCATATCTGTCATCATCAACTTCAGCGGCGATCTCGCCACACTCCTTCCCTTACGGCATTCGGCGGTGAAGACATCGCTGCGCGCGTGGGCAAACGATCTGGTCGCCGAGTGGACTCAACTGCTGGCTCGTCCCGGGGATACAATCGCGACGTCACGAGCAATCGAGTACGACGACCTTCGGATGTATCAGCGCGATTCGCCGGCGGAACTCCCTGTCCTCATTCCCTTCCCACATCCCCGATGAGTCTCTCTCCGATCTCCGTTTTTTATCTCCCCTCCACCTTTCCCACCGTCTGGCAGTCCGATATCCATCCTCGACTTTCCTACTGTCTAAAGCCTCTTATTGTCCCCCTTCTTCATCCTCCCCATTGGATCTTGTGGCGCGAGGAGTTCATCGAGCTTTCACTGTGTTTGGTTGAGGTACGACTGACGTGGACCGAGGACGGAGCGCACCCACCTCACATAGAGCGTCTGGAGTTGCTGCTTATCCAAGCCTGGCGCACCAACGTGGAAGGAGAGCTTCTCGCATTTTTATTTGGAATAGTGCGGCCCGGTCATCAGGAGCTTATCGCGCAAGAACTCACGATCCCTGTAGCACAACTGGCGGATGATCTCCCTCTCGACATCATCGCGCAAGACGACGAGCATCCGGTTCCCCACGTGCTCTCTCGCACATTGACACCGTACCTTCAGTGGTCGGCTTGCGTAGAGGGAGCCGCAGAACGCATCCCCCCCGTCGCAGCAACAGTATTTGGATCCCCGGACGGCTCGCGATCCTGCCTTCTTCGGGTATCCTACAGCGGAGCAGTTTGCTGCCATTCGAGAAGAAGAGGAGGAGGAAGAGAGCACTGGGAGTGACGAAGGAGAAAACGCACAGGAAGAAAGAGGGGATAGCGACGAAGTGCTCGGTAAAGAGGACGAAACCCCCGAAGAAGGAAGCTATAGCGAGCATAGCGAGGGGGAACAGAGCGAAGAAGAAGAAGACGAGGAAGAAGAAGAGGAGCACGAAGATGAGCCTGCTGGATCGCAGTGGGAAGCCGTGCCGGAAGAAGCACTGCGTACGGGCACAAAGGCTGAAGATCCCGAGGCGGCCCGCAAAAGAGAAGAGATCGCGGCCGGGAAGAAGGAGTTAGAACTCGCGAGCGTGGCGAGTCTGCAGATCCACGACGACCCGAACCGAGATTCGGAGCCGCCCCGACCTGAAGATGGCGACCTTGCGGCCACGACTCCGACCCCATCAGCACGGCGACGGAGCTGGTCCCCCTCCTCCCCAACCCGTCCCCCAGTTCGCCGACGTACCGATACGGGCGATCGGCCTTCGTCCCCGATCGCTCTCTCGCCGTCCCCTTGACTACCTCACCCTCTGCTAGCTCACTACCCCCATCACGTTCCCCTCCAACCCGTTCCCCCGCAACACCTTTCGTCACTTCTACGCCGCTCGCCTCGCTGTCGTAGTGCATCCCCACCCCTCCATCCGATGCGCCGTCCCAGCATTGTGCCTCCATGTCTTGCTCCTTAGTGCCGAGTGGCGAGGCCACAATATGATCGAGGTTTATTGCGTGATAACGGGGACCATCCCCGCATGCAAAGATCGCGATCTCTTCCGCGCGGCACTCTTCCGAACTCTCACCACCCTCTATCCCGATTATCTCGCGTCCCTCCCTCGCACAGGCAACCGATTCCCCCGTTTTCATCGCATTGTTCGTTATCAGGAGCTCCCGGAGACGGTAGCCGGAATGGAAAGTGTCCTGCCCCTGCTACCCATAAACCCTCCACCCCGCCATGCCGCCATGTACCGACTTCCTTTCCCCCTCCCCGTTAATTACTGATGCAGCGGTAATGGACGCGTGTCGCGGCGACGGCACGAGAAAGATCCCATCCTTGGATCGTCGACAGCCCAGTCTAAGGAATTAGTAGAAGAGCAGTATTGCCACGTTGGACGACGTCCACACGCAATTAAACGGTAAGTGGCAGAGAGAGAAGTGCTCCGCGTGTCGATCGATTAGAGAAATCGACATGTGTCAACAAGCAAGCAGGAGCTTGCTAATATTGGAACCCCCTGGGCGTCACATATGTGACGAACCACTTTTTGTAAACGCGCGATTTTCTGCGCGTTTGCAACGAGGGGTCCTAAGCTGGGAAGGTTGGGCCAATTACGGGAGATCGGGATCGGTGGAAAATTGCATCACTGTCCTTGCTTTTTCGTCTTTTTCGTCGCTTCTTTTCGAATGACTGGGTTCGGAGCTGGGTGTGTCCTGGGATGGCCGGTTGATGGCGCGCTCCCACCCGCACGATTAATAAATGTTGACGTCGTTTCCTTCGTTTCGGTTTCGATCTTTTGGGCGCGAACATCGCGCGGGAATTTGTTTCGTTCTTTTTGAATTTCCTTTTGAGTCTTTTTCGAATTTTGTCGAGTTCCGATGGCTCTCGGAATTTCAGACTTCTTCCCTGAAGTTCGTGCTTTTTGCTTCTTCGCATTAGGTAGGAATTTANTTTTCGAATTTTGTCGAGTTCCGATGGCTCTCGGAATTTCAGACTTCTTCCCTGAAGTTCGTGCTTTTTGCTTCTTCGCATTAGGTAGGAATTTAGGAATTCAGTAATTAGGATTATTCTTACCGCGCAGCGCCTTTTGTCTACGTGCCTCTTCATGCGGCTGCAACGGTACTCTGATTAGTGGGCGCCCTTAATCGTGTGCGTAACTGTAATTTTGAGCGGGCGCCATTGCAACTGTAGCTTTCTTCTTGCACTTCGTCTTTCCCGCCCTCCCTCTCTTTCTCTTGCTGTGATTTTCGTAAGCCGCGGTTTGCATGCTCGGATCGATGCGTGGAGAAGGGCTACGTCCCCCGCGCCGCGGCCCAATCATGCAGAACGCAGGTGCTCCCTCTCTAATCCCCGCTCTAAGTCCTGGTAATTCCGTGTTCTTCGCGCATGCATGCACGCTATAAATTTCGGTTGCGCGATTAGTCAGCTCTCTTAACCCATTGTTGGAAACTCGGGGTTGCGCAATCAGGAAGGGTTGACACACAAGCGAAGTAAGAGGTGAGTAGAGTAGGAGTTGGGCGACCCGACGGGCTGGTGCTGAACGCGCGGGATTGACGTGGGCCACGACGGACTGTGGGCACGAGCGAATCTGACGGGTGCGGGAGGACTAAGCGGGGTGAGGACTTCGGGAGTTGGTGTGTGACGACGGACTGTCCGCATCGGAGAAGAGAGAAAGAGAGGAGGAGAGAGTTGAGGTCGATGGACGCGGATTTGCTGTTTCTTTGTCTCTTCCCCCTCTTCATCTGTGTACATACATTTTGATTGCGGCTCCGGACGGTTTGCCCGTTCTTGTTTCCATTTCGGCTTTCTGGAATCTGGACTCGGGTTTTTGCTCACACTTGTCCTTGCGATGACCGTCTCGATTGCATTATGTGTATGATTGCTGAATGTATGGATGTATGGATGCTATGCTTGCTTGTCTATCTTCTTACTGAGAATCCTTGTCTTTGCTTTTGCTTGTGTCGAATCTTTGCCTGCACCTGATGCAGTTGTAAAAGGGGATAAGAATTTGGCCCCGATAGCGATTTTGCTCTGGTTTTTGCTTGTCTCACAAATGGGATGTGGTGTGATTGCATCTTGCATAACCAAACTTACGGAGCAATTAGACGATCCGACGTCGGGCCCCGCGAACGCCGCGTGAGGACATGTGTAAATGCGATCTGAATCGCGCGTTTACACGCATCCCCGTGCGCTGATTCGCCCACCCAGAAAAGATTCGCGGCGGAACCGTCACCCCGTACGAGCACGCTGAGGCTCAACTAAGTCCGCCTGTCCTGCATGTGTTCGCACGCGGTGACGATAACCCGACCCGAGTTATCCCATACACGATGACACCATGACGCGATCTTGGAGCTCAGACTCATCCTACGACCTGGATTATTTCACCCCTTGGATAAACGAACTCTTACAGCAGCGATATCCCTGTCACACGGAGAATCGACTATGTCCTCGGGAATTCCACTGCGCCACCTCTAGCGATCCCCGGTGCTCTGATTTCCCTTCCCCCGACCATACCTACAACTTCATCCACCCGGGATTCGTCGTCATCACCACCAGTTTCCCTCCTTTTCGCCTTCTTCTCCCGTATCATCAACTCAGCGTTGTTCCATGGCCGGCCATAGCCGCCTATTGGCCCAGCACGCCCTGCGGAAACTGCCGACGTAGCGGCGAACGGAGAACCCCGGAATTCCAAAGGCCCAACCCAAACACGCAGCGGCCTGCGCCACGTGGCGGCCCCCGACGGCCCAACTTTTCGGGACTGCCTCCTCCGCGGAGGAACTTCCCCGTAAACTGTCGCCCACAGTACCCAGGCCCCATCGGGCCTTGAGTCCCTTGCGCACGAGCCCCTTGTTTGCCTAATTGCATTCATACCCCCAAGACTCCCTCACTTTCCCCAAAAATCCTTGGCACACCCCTTCTCGCACTTCCAGGCCCACACCCCACTCCGATCAGGAAGTCACGCTGGGCGTGAGGTTGGGCGTCACACCCCTGTCTTCGTCTGTTGGGTCTTGTACCCATTATGTGCATCCCTCTTAGAACCATCCTCGCTCTGCCCTCGCTCTGCCTTGAGCCTTGCTGTTACTGTTTTTGTAACCTCCATTGAAGTTCCCGTCTTTGACAATATATCAGCAGGCTGTCGGAGTTGTATGCTGAGCTTCTGTCACCCACTTGAAGTTTTGCAACCCTGCATCCGACTGTTGATCTTGGCTTTCCTGTAAGTTGTGACACCGTGGACTATTTTCCGCCTGGCCTGGCGTTTGGGTGCTTGTGGTTGAGAATGGTGTGTTTCAGCAGAGATGTGGTGGGAGAGATGGCAGCTTGGGAAAGGCGGTGTGCCTGGGCGAGTCAGGAGGTGGAGGCGGGGTCATTACTGGGGGTATGGGCGGGAGTGGGGGAGGTGGTTTTTGCATCGGGAAGATGTCTGGGGGGGGTAGGTCGATGGGGGGTGGAGGGGTGTATGGGGGTTGTTTCTGCTTGGGTCATCTGTGCCATTGGTGGCTGAGGGTTGGGACTTGGAGGAGGTGTTTCTTCCGGAATAAGGTGCCATTAGGGCGGGTCTGACACCGGAGAGGTAATCGGGGGCCATTAGTCGGAGGTGGGGGCGTATGTGGAGGTGTGGAGGTCGGTAGAGGGGGGGTTGATGAGGGAGGGTCATCTTGGATAATCAGTGTTGCTTCGCTCTCTGCTGTTTGTGTAGTTTTGGGTCTTTCAATATTGTTGTTTGGATCCCTGCTAGGCACCGGTGGTGCAGAGTGTTGGTTGTGCAGGGGACACCGCCATAGACCCTCCTGGCCCAGGCCTGTGGGTGGTTGGTAATGTCCTCCTTGTACAGCTTTGTTCGTCCTTCCACCACGGTTTCCAGAGCAAGTTGTGTTCTTTTTTTTTTTTTTTTACATGCTGAGAACCGGGCTCAGCGTCCGTTCAGTGAGCCGATCTTTTGTGTTGGGTCCAACCAGGTGTCCACAAAGGTAGATATACGGTTGTCTTTCCCGGTCCGGTCCTTGATGGTTTCAAGTGATTCCTTAAGTTGTTTTCCTGCCTTTTGGACACTCATTCTGATAGTTTCTATGAGTTGTTGTCTAGCCTGGGGGAATCCGAAAGTGTGTTCTTTCCTTTCGTGGGAACATCGTGCCCACCAGGCTGTCATAACCACTTCCAGCCTGGTATAGTGGAAAGGGTTGAGTTGGAAGGCGGACCAGGAGGCTGTTAGTCCCGTCATTTGTCCCTGTAATAGTACGGCTGGGTCCCAAGGCACGTCAGAACCTGTTAGGTGTCTCCATGCTACATCCCACCATTGCCAGATTTGTCTGCCAAGGGTCAGTTCAAAAGGCAGTGCTCAAGGTCCGCTATTTGCTTTTGAGTTGACAAGCCGCAGAATGAACAGATCGGAGATAGGATGCCTCTCTGTTCTAGCTGGGATCTAGAGAGCAACCAGTCTGGTGTTGGTAAGCAGCGATAGATGATACCATTGAAGTACACACTGAGATGTAGGCATTAGATGGGCGAAGTGTGCCCAATTGAAGTATTGCATGTTGTGGTCCTGTAAGTCGGAATCCTGCTTCCATCTTTGTTTGATGATGTCAGTCGTGTTGGTTGTCTTGTGAGTTTTCTGTAGTAGTCCTTGACTGTGGAACTCCAAATTGGAAGAGGCTTGGCCCCACCCCATTGCCACTCACCCGGATCAAAAGGGAGTGAGCAGATGGGGGTAGACATTTCATATGTCCACCGACCTTCTTTTTCATCCCTTACAGTTCTGAGTCGGATAAGGCTGGACCAAGAATGTTGGTTGTCCAGGTCTTCTTTCCTCGTTAATTTGGAACTTCTGGCCCTGGGCAGTGCTGGTTACTCTGTGAGATTAAAGCCT